AAAAAAGCATGTTACACAGAGAAAAAATACATATACAATACATATTCCTTATACATGAGAGGGTTACAAAAAAAATTGTACCTGTACCAGGTCAAACAAGAAACACGAATTCCAAAATAATCACGGCAGCAAGTCAAAAAATGCAAAAATGACCCCTCGCTCACATGTAATGATAATAAGCATGTGTTTCTCCTATTTTCATGGTTATGTTAATATTCTTTTTCAGACATTGGCATCACTACTGGATATGCAGTGGAACTTGCCTGTGTCAGAAAATTGTCAACTTTAAGGGCTTGTTGTAATAAAGGAGTTCAATAAAGTAAGAAACTCAATCGACTTAAGTAGTCCTATTGGTGGGCTGGTTGTTAGGTTGGTTCTGTTGTATTTTATACATGTTGACAGTCAATGTAGCTATGAAAGGCTAAGAAAAACATGGAAAGTTAATTGAACTCACCATGCTCGTCTTGTCCCATCATAACCCAATCAAGTAACATTTCCAAAAGAGTTCATTAGTTTAAATGAATCAATAACATTAATCAAAATACTTTTATAAACTCTCTTTTTATTATCATAATTTAAATAATTACACCTCAGTGGATAATGGGCAAGCCATTCTGGAAAAAATCCACTGCAGCATTTATTGTCTAAGAATCATTAGGTAGATATACATATATTAAGAACATATAGATTTCCTAGTTAGAAGTAGAAACCCTTTTGAAAGAACCTATTGCATGATCAGCAACCAGCATGCTACAATTATTTTTGCATCTAAAGCCCCAGTATACAAGAGTGCTTGAGCCCACAAATATTGACCCAGACTATATCATTTGGACCAGGTATGAACTGGAGTTTTGTTCCAGTCTATTCAGGCCAATTTAATATTAGAACCTGAAATAAGTCACGGAATCTAGAGCAAAAATTGTACTGTTAATTTCCTCAGAAATGGGCTCATCAGTAGTCTTGGTTTTTAGATATAATATATATTTTTGTTTGGTTCTCCTACATGAGGACGGACCATACCCATTTGGACTAAAGGCAAAACAAGTTTCCAATGAAATTAAACATAAATTAGCATCGTGTCTGTTAACAAACTGTAATAATGAGTGCATTTCTGCTCTGGTCCGTAATCATGCATCACTTATAGCAATGGCCAAAGCTCTCGAGTGACCACCTCAGGGATTTGGAAACAGTTGTGCTTGTTAGCTGGAGCTGGTCGCTTAGGAGAATAAAACCTTGTCTTACTGACCAGTCTCTGAAAAGATACAGGTTGGTTGCCTACAAGAGTTTCCAACATTCCAAAGAGATAACAAAATAACAGTGTTTGGATGTCTCTAATACAGTATACAGTTCTAATTTTCCATATCTTGCCCTTATTTTCTGTGAGCAAATATTCAACAAGCAAAGCTGAGTCGACTATTGCTCATAGAATACAAGAGCAAATAGTTATACTATTCCAATGAAAATGAGAGCAGTGCATATCTTTAATGCATTGCTGAATGACTGGAATTAGAGTTTGCAGAAGGTCACCTCCTGGAGCAAATACAGGAATTTAGAGAAGGGGATTTGATGTACGGACTGCTGAGGGTGGTCCTCTGGAGGGGGTTCCAGAGGCATCCTCCCCATGAAATTTTTTAAAAT